TGGAATGTAAGGAAGACAGCAAGAAATAGTGGAAAGGCATATATAAATAGTGTTAAGAAACAAATTGAGGCAAAACGGCAAGGTAGCAGATGTGAATGTAAAAAGCAATGCTATGAGAAATTTACAGAGTTCCAAAATATTTGAAGGATTTTATAAGAACGCTGATAAAAATGTTCAGGAAGCTTATTTAAGTGGTCTTGTAACCGCTTCTGCAGTAAAAAGAAGAAGAAAACAAGGAAATTTACAATCGAAATTACACATTTTTGTACACTATTAAAATAGGAACCAAAAAGGAGCAGGTTTGTCGCACAGCGTTTTGTAATCTGTATTCAATTCATAAATCTCGAATACCAGCTACCGACAGTCGTGGAAAACGTCCTAATAAATTAAGTGACGACCTATTAAAGTGTATTTCAGAGCATATCGATAGTTTTCCTCTTCGAGAATCCCATTATTCGCGAAGTCAAAGTCAGAAAAAATATTTGCCTGCTGAATTAAATGTGAAAACAATGCATGAAATGTATCTGAAGAAATACGAGCCAGAAAATTATTACTATCGATATTTTACTGAAAGATATATTTCATTTGGTGCATCTCGAACTGATACATGCTCTGTATGCGATAATCTAAAAATGAAGATCGACCAAACTACTGGTGAGGATTTACGGAAAACACTACTGGTTTAGAAATAACTCCATTTAAAGAAAGCTCAAGCATTCTATGATGACTATCAGCAAAATTTGCCAGTTCCGGTGATAACATCTTCGAACATATTTTATGCCAGTCAGGTTTAGGTGTTTAATCTTGGATTTCACTTATGTAAAACAAATAGTGCCATTATGTATATATTTAATGAAACCATTGGTAAAAAAGGTTCCAATAGAAGCATTTCCTTTTTGAAGCACTACATTGATAACTATATATCCAATGATGTTAGATCGTTGTATATTTTTACGGACAACTACTGTGGCGGCCAGAATACCATCTCCAAGAACAGCCTATTATGATAATTGCTTTCTGAATCCAAGATTTTTACATCCTTAAAATCAAACTCATGTTTACACTCCAAAACGTGTTGGGATAAAGCATTACTGGACTTTTTTAGTCTACAGTCACTTGCATGTTTTGAGATTCTACATTTCAGTCTCTGACTGGTCTGACCAACGTTGGTCAGATGAGATGGTACACATCAATTATACACAGAATGCTGTAAATTTTAAAACAGATACTCAGAACCTTAGCAACATTTATGCTTATTTGTTTGCCTTAGATAGGCCAGAATAAGAACTCCGCAATGATTTGACTTGATTGACTTTTTAATGGCCCTTGTTCGAACTGGTAGATACTCTACAATCATTCATTATCTTCCGGAACCTGGCCATAGTTTTCTACCGGCTGACAGGGACTTTGCAAAAATTGAAAAAAAGAAACGCAAGAAAGAAGTACTTTACCTGCCAGAAGAATGGTACAAACTAGTTGAATCGTGTGGTAAAAATTTCAAAGTCGAACGTGTCACCCAATCAATGATACACGATTATAAATCTTATTTACTGCCGTATTTTAAGAAAACTGCTGTTGTTAAGAAAAAGCCGTTTACGTTATCAAAGTATAGGATTTTCAAATGTGATCAAGACTATTCCGATAAGGTACAGTGATACAAGAAAGTTTTTTAACAAAACATGTAAGAAGTCCATATTATTTCCATATTTTACATAAAAACTATATAAGCTATTATTAATCAAGGGGAACACAAAACATAAAAGTATATCAGTGTCCGTTATAGCTCAATAAAAATACCGGAAGTTGCTTATATCTCGAGTAATATTGGAATTAAACGTATCATGTTTGGGCTCATTTTGAATGACAAAGAAGATAGAATAAAAAACATTAACCTTGAATATTTTTAGTTCTATGCACCTGGTTGAGCATAATTTTATACTTGTCTAAATGATTAACAACTAGTTTTTAAACAATCCATGTTGCTCAAAATGTCTAAAAATTAGTTAAAATTTGTCTAAATGTATAACGACTAGTTTATAGCAAGTCCAGATTGCTCACAACGACTGAAAACTGCACCAACATTGTCCAAAATTGGTCTATAAGGTAACAAAATTGATCGAAATGTTTCGAAATAAGTTCATAGCCATCTCATGTGTTCAAAATAATTGATAATAGGTTGAGCATAATTTTATACTTGTCTAAATCATTGACAACTAGTTTTTAAACAATTCATGTTGCTCAAATTGACTAAAAACTAGTTGATAGTCATTAAGAACTTGTCTAAATGTATAAGGACTAGTTTATAGCAAGTTTAGGTTACCCAGAATAACTGAAAACTGCACTAAAATTGTCCAAAATTGCTTTATAAGGTAGCAAAATGTTTCGAAGTAGGTTCATAGCTATCTCATGTTATTCAAAATCATTGAAAATTGGTTGTGCATAATTTTATACTTGTCTAAATCATTAACAACTAGTTTTTAAACAATTCACGTTGCTCAAAATGACTGAAAACTAGTTGATAATCATTAAAAACTTGTCTAAATGTATAAGGACTAGTTTATGGCAAGTCCAGATTGCTCACAACGACTGAAAACTGCACCAACATTGTCCAAAATTGGTCTATAAGGTAACAAAATTGATCGAAATGTTTCGAAATAAGTTCATAGCCATCTCATGTGTTCAAAATAATTGATAATAGGTTGAGTATAATTTTATACTTGTCTAAATCATTAACAACTAGTTTTTAAACAATTCATGTTGCTCAAAATGACTGAAAACTAGTTGATAGTTATTAAAAACTTGTCTAAATGTATAAGAACTAGTTTATAGCAAGGTTAGGTTACCCAGAATAACTGAAAACTGCACCAACATTGTCCAAAATTGCTTTATAAGGTAGCAAAATGTTTCGAACTAGGTTCATAGCTATCTCATGTTATTCAAAATCATTGAAAATTGGTTGAGCATAATTTTATACTTGTCTAAATGATTAACAACTAGTTTTTAAACAATCCATGTTGCTCAAAATGACTGAAAACTAGTTGATAATTATTAAAAACTTGTCTAAATGTATAAGGACTAGTTTATGGCAAGTCCAAGTTCACCTAGTTTTGCACTAGAGCTAACACAAGACCTAGACCTAGAATAATTCGGGTTTAGTCATCTTGAGAGACGTGCGAATGTTAATTCTAGAGACAGTGGTAAGTAGCGCTAGTTAGCATAAGATATCACTATGTTGTATATTGTTATTGAACTAAAACTAGAACTAACACTAGACCTAACACTAGACCTAGAACTAGAAACATTCTTCTATTGGTACTTTCGATACTTTCTAGTTCTAGGTCTAGTGTTAGTTCTAGTTTTACACTAGCACTATCACTAGAACTAACACAAGACCTAGAACTAGAATAATTCGGGTTTAGCCGTCTTGAGAGACGTGCGACTAAATCCAAATGTTTCTAGTTCTAGTGTTAGTTCTAGTTTTGCACTATCATTAAAACTAACACAGACCCAGAACTAGAATAATTCGGGTTTAGTCGTCTTGAGAGACTAAATGCGGCTAAATCTACTGCTGTAGCCTTCACTTCGTAGCACAAGTCGAACTGTTTCGACTTTGTATTAAAATAATATAGACTTCTAACATTTAAAAAATTCATTGAATTACATTTGAGGAGGCGAGATATTATCATTTTCTGGGGTGTATGTAGACTTTATTGTATCACTGGATATGTAAGCCAATGTCATAATGACACAATGTTGGAGGGTACGCGCTTCTAAAAGACAAAACAGTTTCTATTAACTTAAGTGACGTATCACTGGCATACCTTTGCCCATAAAATCATCCAAATACAACAGCATCATGCCGATTGTACAACGATTTTTACCCAAGAAATTTCTTCATTTTTATGAAAATCTTAAACAGACTGAGGACCTAGCTGGTGGTAGTTATTAAAAGAAATAAAGTTATGTTTTACCTTGTAGTGATAGATTTCACAGACAATATCTGTTCATTTTATTTTAGTTTTTTATTTTTAATCTGCGGCAATAAGAGGTCATGTGCATCCTTTTTTATATATAACCAAAGCCAGAAGCAACAAAAAGAAGAAAACAAAGAGACAAAAATAATTACTATGGAAGGCATATGCCAAACTTCTTTGTTTTCTCAAAACTATACTTTGTGCACATAGCTGATTATTGCACCAACCTCTTCAATTGATAACTGTAAAATGTAAAGAAATACTTATATAAAGAGAAAAGACAAAAACATGTATGTTTGCGTAATTGAGTTACGCATGGTTGATAATCTCGGTGCATTAAATTGTCGAGCGTAGCATTGAACAATCAATAACGGATTTTTGCGTGGCCATGGTCGCGGTGGAGGATTACGTCAGCTGTTTGCACATCTCTGTTTATCCGTTTGCCATGTGTACACATGGTGACATCAGCGTTCCGCAGAGTTGCGAGGAGGAGTTTGCATATTCACCTCTTGTCTTATGTCAATTGTGAGCTGGAGACACCACGCAATCAACGTGTTGTGCAAAGCTAAACGCGCGCGATCATCGGGATGAGCATTTATATATGACCGGAGTTATGGAGACGTCAAATTTGGGTATCTAACGTCCCGTCTGAGGCAGACAATTGCGGAGAATTTCAGAAATGTACACGTCGAGTGTCAGTGACCGCTCGCCTCTCAGTTGACATAGAAATCTACCCTTTACGCGTTTGACGTGACGTGGATACGGGAAAACAACCGGAATTAATTTAAATGCAGACACAATCGATTCTGTTTCCTGGCTGAAACTGATTATCTCGTTACGAATCAGCGATAGTTCCCAAAACGAATTTCGGTGTTATTCCAAAATTATAGACGGAAAAACAAGGGGGCTGTCTTCGACAGACTTCTTGCCACTCTAATGGAATCGAAGTGTCGACGTGTTTGTACAAGTTCTCCGCAAATATTGTATTAAGGAAGGGAAAATAGTCGGAGTTTAAGGCGTACTTACGGATTGGTGGAGTTTGGACTCCGGAGGACACTTCGAGCACTCGACGGTCGAATTTGTACTGCTTCGAAAAAAAAAGAAGGAACTACGACGTCCGGCACGTGAACTGAAACCAAAAGAAATCGAACAATAGAGGCTGTTTCCCAAGTGGCTCGAAAGTTAAAACTAATAGACGCAGAATGCGAGCATTCATTCGAGGACGCAACTTCTTTAAATAACGCCGCCCGTTGAGAGTTCACCGTTTCTCAATAAAGGAGAGAAAACGGAAGTTTCAACGGCAACGTGTCGACGGCCACAATGCAAACTGCCTTTTTAATTAGTCGTAATGGTAATGAAAAGTTTTTGTTTAAAAATCAACATTGTCCGGCCACAATAACCACCCGAAGACCACCCGAAAAGGTTGGAGAGGTCGGCACCGCATAGCGAGGATGGATTCACAAATCAATACCCATTGTTTGATGAACACAGACGTACGAGCCGTACTATAAACATTGAGTTTTCCCCCGAAAAAGCTCCAAAAGCTTTGTGTCTAAAACACTTTATTACTGTTTCAAAAATTAAATTGCAACTTGGTCCTATTAATTCCATTTATACGTTTTAGATATAAACATATTGGTTGGAGATTTTTTTTTGAATGGGTCATAAAATCCGTTGATAAAAGTGCACCTGAAAAAATTAAAACCCCATTGCGTTTTTGCCTAGTTTTATTTTGGGAATCATCCCACGTGGTTTTTTCGATGGTGATTGCCCAAAGCTATCCAAAATGAACATGTTCGTTTAGATTTATCGTCGCTCGTGAATCAAATTCAGCGCCATTCTGAACACCAACCGGTCCCCGAACTATCGTTACAAAAAAAATAAACGCCCTAATGAACTTTTAAACGACCGCCATTGAGCGATTTTAAAATAACGTTCTATTTCGTCAGTATAACGACAGCAACAAATATCTTGAGATATCTACGTTGTCTTTGGAGATAGCGAAATATTAAATACACCACGACAAAGGCTGATTTTTTCTTTAACCCAAAATATTTAAATATAGTAATTACATACGGTTTTATGCTTTTTAGATGAAGAATTCTTGTGCATTCAACTTATCGATTCATATCATATATCAGCGTGTTGAGCAGAAAATTTCTTGTCGATTTTATATGATCTTGCAGTTTGACCATATCATATAAGAATGTTATGACATCGTAAACATTTATATGTTGTTATAATTACTTGTACAGTCAACTAATCGATTAATATCATATACCACTGTATAGAGCAGAAAATTTTCTATCGATTTTATATGATTTTGGAGTATTGTCCGTATCATATCAGAATGTTATGATGCAGTAAACATTGATATTCAGCAATTATACGTGGTTTTCCTACTTCTTTGGAAAAAATTATTTGCACAGTTTATTAATCGATTAATATCATATACCACCGTGTAGACCAGAAAATTTTCTATCGATTTTATATGATCTTGGAGTTTTGTCCATATCATATAAAAAATTCTGACGCAGTAAATATTGAAATACAGCAATTATAAGCAGCTTTCTTTCATTTTTGGGGAAGATTATTTGCACAGTCAATTAATCGATTAATATCATATACTACAATGTAAAGCAGAATATTTCCTATCGATTCTATATGATTTCTAGGTTTTGTCTGTATCATATAAGAAAGTTATGACGCTGTAAACATTGAAACATAGCAATTATACACGATTTGCTTACTTTTTTGGAGAAGATTACGTGCGCAGTCAACTAATCGATTAATATCATATACCACAATGTAAAGCAGAAAATTTCCTATCGATTCTATATGATTTCTAAGTTTTATCGATATCATATAAGAAAGTTATGATGTCGAAAACATTGAAACATACCAATTATATACGATTTTCTTGCTTTTTTGGGAAGATTACTTCCATAGTCAACTAATCGATTAATATCACATACCACCATCTAGAGCAGAAAATTTTCTATCGATTTTATATGACTCTTGAGTATTGGCCATATCATATATAAATGTTATGACGCCGTAAACATTGAAATGCAGCAATTATATATGTTTTTCTTACTTTTTTGGAGAAAATTACTTGCGCAAACAATTAATCGACTAATATCATATACCACCATATAGAGCAGAAAGTTTCCTATCGATTTTATATGATTTTTGAGTTTTATCGATATCATATAAGAAAGTTATGATGTAAACATTGAAAAACAGCAATTATACACGATTTTCTTACTTTTATGGGGAACATTACTTCCGCAGTGAACTAATCGATTAATATCATATACCACCGTGTAGAGCAGAAAATTTCCTATCGATTTTATATGACTCTTGAGTTTTGGCCATATCATATATAAATGTTTATAACGCCGTAAACATTGAAATGCAGCACGATTTTTTTACTTTTTTGGGGAGGATTACTTGCGCAGTCAATTAATCGATTAATATCATATACCATCGTGTAGAACAGACAGTTTTCTATCGATTTTATATGATTTTTGAGTTTTGTCGATATCATATAAGTAGGTTATGATGTCGTAAACATTGAAACATAGCAATTATATACAATTTTCTTCCTTTTATGGGGAAGATTACTTCCGCAGTGAACTAATCAATTAATATCATATACCACTGTGTAGAGCGGAAAATTTTCTATCGATTTTATATGAATTTAAAGTTTTGTTCGTATTATATAAGAAAGTTTTAATGTCATAAACATTGAAACATAGCAATTATATACGATTTTCTTACTTTTATGATGAGTATTACTTCCGCAGTGAACTAATCGATTAATATCATATACCACTGTGTAGAGCGGAAAATTTTCTATCGATTTTATATGAATGTAAAGTTTTGTTCGTATCATATAAGAAAAATTTAATGTCATAAACATTAAAACATAGCAATTATATACGATTTTCTTACTTTTATGATGAGCATTACTTCCGCAGTGAACTAATCAACTAATATCATATACCACCGCGTAGAGCAGAAAATTTTCTATCGATTTTATATGATTTTTGAGATTTGGCCGTATCATACAAGAAAGTTATGACGCTGTAAATATTGAAACACAGCAATTATACACGATTTTCTTACTTTTTTTGGGGAAAATGACTTTTGCAGTAAACTGATCGATTAAAATCATACACCATCGTGTAGAGCAGAAAATTTCCTATCGATTTTATATGATTTTTGAGTTTGGCCATACCATATATAAATGTTATGACGCCATAAACATTAAAATGCAGCAATTATACACGATTTTCTTACATTTTTGGGGAAGATTACTTGCGCAGTCAATTAATCGATTAATATCATATACCACCGTGTAGAGCAGAAATTTTCCTATCGATTTTATATGATTTTTGAGTTTTATCGATATCATATAAGAAAGTTATGATGTCGTAAACAGTGAAACATAGCAATTATATACAATTTTCTTCCTTTTATGGGGAAGATTACTTCCGCAGTGAACTAATCAATTAACATCATATACCACTGTGTAGAGCGGAAAATTTTCTATCGATTTTATATGAATTTAAAGTTTTGTTCGTATCATATAAGAAAGTTTTAATGTCATAAACATTGAAACATAGCAATTATATACGATTTTCGTACTTTTATGATGAGTATTACTTCCGCAGTGAACTAATCAATTAATATCATATACCACCGTATAGAGCAGAAAATTTCCTATCGATTTTATATGATTTTTGAGATTTGGCCGTATCATACAAGAAAGTTATGACGCTGTAAACATTGAAACACAGCAATTATACACGATTTTCTTACTTTTTTGGGGAAAATGACTTTTGCAGTAAACTGATCGATTAATATCATACACCATCGTGTAGAGCAGAAAATTTCCTATCGATTCTATATGATTTTTGAGTTTTGTCCCTATCATATAAGAAAATTATGACGCCGTAATCATTGAAACACCGATATTATACACGATTTTCTTGCTTTTTTGGGAAGATTACTTCCGTAGTCAACTAATCGATTAATATCACATACCACCGTGTAAAGCAGAAAATTTACTATCGATTTTATATGATTTTTGAGTTTTGACCATATCATATATAAATGTTATGACGCCGTAAACATTAAAATGCAGCAATTATACACGATTTTCTTACTTTTTTGGGGAAGATTACTTGCGCAGTCAATTAATTGATTAATATCATATACCACCATGTAGAACAGAAAATTTCCTATCGATTTTATATGATTTTTGAGTTTTATCGATATCATATAAGTAAGTTATGATGTCGTAAACATTGAAACATAGCAATTATATATAATTTTCTACCTTTTATGGGGAACATTACTTCCGCAGTGAACTAATCAATTAATATCATATACCACTGTGTAGAGCGGAAAATTTCCTATCGATTTTATATAAATTTAAAATTTTGTTCGTATCATATAAGAAAATTTTATGTCATAAACATTGAAACATAGCAATTATATACGATTTTCTTACTTTTATGATGAGTATTACTTTCGCAGTGAACTAATCGATTAATATCATATACCACCGTATAGAGCAGAAAATTTCCTATCGATTTTATATGATTTTTGAGATTTGGGAGTATCATACAAGAAACTTATGACGCTGTAAACATTGAAACACAGCAATTATACACGATTTTCTTACTTTTTTGGGAAAAATGACTTTTGCAGTAAACTGATGGATTAATATCATACACCATCGTATAGAACAGAAAATTTCCTATCGATTTTATATGACTTTTGAGTTTTGTCTGTATCATATAAGAAAGTTATGATGCAGTAAACATTGAAATGCAGCAATTACACACGATTTCCTTACTTTTGTGATGAGCATTACTTCCGCAGTGAACTAATCGGTTAATATCATATACCACCGTGTAGAGCAGAAAATTTCCTATCGATTTTATATGATTTTTGAGATTTGGGAGTATCATACAAGAAAGTTATGACGCTGTAAACATTGAAACACAGCAATTAGTCACGATTTTCTTACTTTTTTGGGGAAAATGACTTTTGCAGTAAACTGATCGATTAATATCATACACCATCGTGTAGAGCAGAAAATTTCCTATCGATTCTATATGATTTTTGAGTTTTGTCCC